GCTACTCCTCCCAGTTTCGTGTCATCAGCAAACTTGCTGAGGGAGCACTCTGTGCCTTCATCCAGGTCATTGATGAATAAATTGAACAGGACTGGACCAAGGACTGACCCCTGGGGGACCCCACTAGCCACAGGCCTCCAACTAGACTCTGCACCGCTGATCACCACTCTCTGGGCCCTGCCATCCAGTCAGTTCCTAATCCATCTCACTGTCCACTCATCTATCCCACAGTTCCGGAGCTTGCCCGGGAGGATGTTGTGAGGGACGGTGTCAAAAGCCTTGGTGAAGTCGAGATAGACGACATCCACCGCTCTCCCCTCGTCTATCCAGCCGGTCATTTCATCATAGAAGGCTATCAGGTTAGTCAAGCATGATTTCCCCTTGGTGAATCCATGCAGACTATTCTTGAGCACATTCTTGTCCTCCACACACCTGGAGACAACGGCCAGTATGAGCCGTTCTATCACTTTCCCGGGGACGGAGGTGAGGCTCACTGCCTTCTAGTTGCCTGGATCCTCCTTTTTGCCTTTTTTGAAGACTGGCATAACTTTGGTTTTCTTCCGGTCCTCTGAAACCTCCCCTGTTCTCCAGGATCTTTCAAAGATGATGGAGAGCAACTTAGCTATGACATCCGCCAGCTCACGCAGAACTCTGGGGTGCATCCCATCAGGGCCCATGGATTTGTGGGTATCGAGTTTCCTTAGGTGCTCTCTGACCCAATCTTCCTCTACCCAGGGCAAGTCTTCCTCTCTCCAGGCTTCTTCTCTTGTCTCTAGGGCCTGGGATTCCAGAGGGCTGCCCTTGGTAAACACCGAAGCAAAGAAGGCATTCAGCAACTCTGCTTTTTCTATGTTCTTCGTAACCAGGGTGCCCATAACGTTCACCAGCAGACCCACGTTTTACCTGATCTTCTTTTTGCTGTTAATATATTTGAAGAAGTTTTTCTTGTTATTTTTAACATCCCTTGCCAGATTGCGTTCTAAACATGCCTTAGCTTTCCTTGTCGCATCTTTGCATTCCCTGACAATGTTCTGGTATTTCTCCCAGAGGGTCTGTCCTTTTTCCCATATTCTGTATACTGCCTTCTGCTTGTGTATTGCCATAAGCTCCTTGCTTATCCATGCAGGTCTCCTGCCCCCTCTGCCTGACTTCTTACACACAGAGTGCACTGTTGCTGGGCGTGGAGGATGTATTTTGGTCCAACTTTGAATGCAAGGTGGACATGAATACATTGGAAGTGAATTATACACTAATGGGTCCTCATTAACATGAGAGATGCCTGACAGGGCTCTCTTATCTTGCAGGTTAGAATAACCCTCAGACTTTCCTTGGCTTGTTTCTTCTGTGTTGCATTCGAGGTGGAAAGTCTGCTGCTGAATTGCTTTTCTTTCAATCTCAGCTTTCTGAGCTGTCTGAACTGCTACTGCATCCAAAGTGGTGACCCTAATTCGTGTCCTAGAAGACAGCAGATTTCTCTAGAGGGGAACAGGGACAAGTAGACATTTTGCACTTGCACTGTTGGTTTATGTTGATTTGTCCTGGCTTCTGTGCTGGGCTGCAAGGTGCTGCAGTTAGTCTCTGAGGGAAGCCACATGCACCTTGCTCAGTTGCTCTGTAACAGACTTTTACTTTTGCCTACTGCTTGCCCACCTGTGTGTTTTCCTTCACCCCAGCAAAGAGAAGCTGAATATGAGGAGAGCGTGGCAAAGGAAGAGCAGCCTGTGGTGAGTAACGCCATCTGGGTGGGTGTCCATCTATATTGAGTATTTCTGTGAGAGACATAGAAGAGCTGTCAGAGGGGCCTGATAATTTCCTTTCTTTGTGAGGTGCATTGGGAAAGGTGCTGGTGAAACTGTGTTCCTTCAGGTGATTCTAGTGCTACAGAGAATTTGATATTCTTCTAGAGAATATGCAGGGCTGGCCAGACTGCTACACAGTAACTGGGGATTCTTAAGCCCTACCACTAGTTGGTGGTTGTTTGTCTGCAGCTGATGTTTGTCTGCACCAACTTCCTAGAAAGGATTGGTTGCCCTCAGACAACTGCTCGCAGGTCCATGTTAAGCGGGACAGCCAGAGCTTAGCATTGGCTCTGTACCTCTGTTCTGAAAAGAGCTTTCCATCTGGGAAATCATGTGTTTTGCCTGGACAAATGAGTTCAGGCTATGCGGTTGATATTTTCTTTAGCATAGCGTGTGATGGGATGTGTTTTATCAGCCCCTTGGCTGACTGAAGGAAGGAGCTGCACACTCTCTCTTTTGTAGGTGGCTGGCGAGACACAAGGAGAGACAGGGCTAGCAGGAAAGAAAACTATTGAAACCATCAAAGCGGTAAGTTTGTGTGGGTCCCCTTTTTTTTGCCTTGTCAGTCTTTCAAGTTGGGAGAGTCACAGGACTGGAGCAGCAGTTTGAAGAGATGTGACTTGTGTCACAAGTGTAAGGACAGCAACTCAAAGAAGCTGCTGTTTGAGAAGTGAAGGTGCAGATCCAACTCCGCTTGCAAGAGCAGGTTCTCCTGCTTCCTGGTCAATGGGAGAGATCTCTCCAGGGGACAAGGCATGAGATTTCTGTTGGTATTCAGGCTGTGGCTTTTTCTGCCTGATACATGTAGGATAGGCAGGGCTGCCTCTGCCCGGGCTTGCTGGAGGGACAGTTCAATGTCAAGGCAGCCTGTGAAGCTGCAGCAGAGCATTACGAGGGTTGTGGATAGTACTTGGCTCCTTCAAGACACTACAGAGCTACCCAGAGCAGCAGCACTGTCTGGAACAAAGGTTATCTTTTTGAGCAAGATGTGTGTGTTGATGCTGCACATCAGCCGAACTTCTTCTTTCCCCTGCATTGGTTTATTTGGACATGAGCTTTGCTTCTTTTTTTGTCTACTGATGTGCCTGTCGTGTCACACAGGCTGAACGGATCATGGAAGCTATTGAACTGTACAGAGAAGAGATGGCTAAATTAAAGGAGCACAAGGCCATATGCAAAGCTGCAGGAAAAGAGGTAAAAGATAAGGAATTTGTCACAGCAGAAGCATGTGGGTATTTTGCCAGCTCTGTCATTTTGGCAGAGTCTTACCATGCACATAAAGTCAGGAAATAGTAGAGATTTGCTGAAACCTTTCTGGGTGGGCCATGAATAGTGGTTTGTTCTTTGCAATGATTTTTATGTTGGAAGTCACAGCGGGATGTAAATTGTGTCCCTGGGAGACAACTCTGTATGCAAACTCATCCTGTTTAGCCTGTTCTTTGCCTTCATCTCAGCAGTTACTAAATCCGGAGCTGTGGTACATGCGAGAAACATGAAGTGAAAATAAAAAGGGGAAAAAAATGAGTTAGACTTACATGTTTGAGTATTAGGTTTATCTTGTAGCTGCAATTGAGGCCTCTGTGAAGTCCTGGGAAGGATGAAAGTGTGGGAATTTGAGATCTTTGATTAGAAGCTGTCTTTTACTGTGGGTTATTTTTTTTTTCTGGGAATATGTGTTTGTACACATGTATGTGCCTCCTTTTAACCCATTCTGTGTCTTCAGGTTCCCCTTTCTGTTAATCCCATCCTCCATGCCTATGGAAATATTACCGTAAGTGGAATGCCTAGGCCACAGGCTGCAGGCCATCCTCAACTGGAATGGGGCTGTCTGTTTACTGGCAGAACTAAAATGCTGGGTTGTGTTGGGGAGGGAGGATTAGTTTGCATCAGCCTGAAATGAAAATTTTGCTCTTTTGTAAAATGAGCATACTTGGTTTTTTTTTTTTTCATTTTGTGTATGTGTAATAAAAGTACCTTAACTAGAAAAAAAACATTTTTTGCACGTAACCCTGATGGTGGCCTTGACATTATCATGTGCAGTTACAGTTACCTGGCAGTTACAGTATTTTCTCAGGGCATAAGAAAACTGATTCAGACCCTTCCTGTGACAAGTGCATCTCTCTTTTGCCAGGAGGGTGCAGTTACCTTGTCCTAGTGCATTTCCGTGGAGTTGTGACATTTTATACAAAATACCTGAACATCCACTGGAATGATGACTTGAGAATCCATTTCACTGTGTCCCCCTCATCCCTGTCTGCCTGTGTGGCATCTGTAACCACAAAACCAGAGCTGTTCTCTTCCTTCCTCTGTGGCTATGGGTAGCTTTAATTGCAAGTTGAAGAGATGGAGGAGGGGTAAATGAAATGCCATGATTTAGTAGTTAAGCACTTTGGGGAATGAGTGAGATTAGATTCTATTTCCTTATACAGAGAAGAATGTTGCAATATGAGATGAAACTGCCTTTTAGTTTTCCTTCTAACGGCTTCCCAGCTTTGTATCTTCTGATATAAAGATATCTACAGCAGATAAACAAGAGTTGCAGGAATTAAATCTCTTGGAATTGAGTTCGTGTAAAGTTTCGTACGTATAATTTAGCAGTTTTACCAAGTTTTTATCCAGTTTGTACAAGACTCACACTGCTAAGTATGAGATAATTTAGCTAATTGGATATAATTAAGACTTTACAATCATCTTCACCATTCAGTGTCTCATGAATAGACTGGGATTATACCCTGTGGAGGAAGAATGAGAACTTCCCAGAGTGGCAGCTAGTGGGAGCTGAATTCCTCTTTATCTGTTACATTCAGACTGATCAATCACAAAATGTGATTGTCTGTTTTTAATTGGGTGAAATGGATCTTAAGGTACATATTTTTCATGGAATGTTTTTTGATATGCAGAACTGATGTCTTCCTTCTCTTACAGCCTTCTGCATATGTGCTAGAAGTTTTCAAGAAGGTCAAGTCAAGGTGAGTCACAAGCCTTATTGTCGAACTGGTTTGTGTCTGACCACTGGATTGCTGTGATTGATGCTACGTAGAGTCCTGGTGTGGATTTTGCCGCCAGGCATGGGTAGTGCAGGAGAACTGAGAGTTACTGTGTCTGGCAGCCTTTCTGGAGCGTGCAGAGTTGGGGAACAAAAATTGTTCCTTCCATGGACAGTGCTGGATGAAGCTTGCCTATGTAGGCTGACTGCTTGGAGGTGCATATAGATATGAAGAGGCTGCTGAGGCTGCTGGGGAGGGAAGATTGTTTCTGTGCCTGCTCCTTGTCCCAGAAGGTGTTTGCATGGACTCTAGTTTATGAGG